TGTTGGCCCAACCCAATTTTTTTTTGTTAATCTAATATTCTTAAACCTAATTACCCAGCCCAATTTATAGCTCAATTTACAATCCAATTACAGAACCCTACAAGCAGAAGGAAATCCAATATACATAACCGGCTAACCCTAGATGCAGAAGGAAATCCAATTGCCGCTTCTTGCAAATTGCTATCCCACCCTACTCCAGTCAGTCTCTTCTCCTCTGCCGCGCCGCTCACCACTGCTCACACCGCTCAGCTCCAGCTCCAGCTCCAGCTCCAGCTCCAGCTTTTGTTTGTTTATTTGTTTGTATGTCATCTTTTATCTTTCATTTTCGCTTCTCTTTTTTTTCTTTAATTTATGTACTTCCGTTTGAGCATCAGCATGCATCAGTTAGCTATCACATATGTCCCATTACATTGCACAGATGGGTACCGTATGCCTATGTGCATCTGATATTAAAATTTTTCATTTGGTGGTTTTGCAGCATTCGATCTTTTCAAGCAAGCAACAGCTCCCAGCTTGTAAACCTGTCTTGACACCAGCGTGGGTGAGTGCTTGCAATCTTTTGATTTGGTAAACCTGTTTTGATTTGGTGGTTTTGCAGCTTTCGATCTTTTTATTTTTTTATGCTTTAGTGTTTAACTAGTAATTTTCATGTTTTTAATTTAATTTTTGTGCTTTAGTGCTTAATAAGTGGTTATAATCAAGTACTGTCATTGGTGGTTGAAGTCTAGCAGGGTTTCTGATAAGTCTTTTATGTAAAACTAAAAGGAATGGTCTGTTTTTATTGTGATGCACTTGACCTGTCTTTGTTAGGGATTTGTTAGGGATTTGTTAGGGATTTGTCTAATGATGTACTATCAATATTCCAATGTTGACTAATAACTCTTCCACTAGTACTAATGATGTACTATCAATATTCCAATCCGATACAGGCACTGATGTGTCTTCAAGATTGGTTGAAGAAAGATCTGAAAGGTATTAAATTAAGCCTATATTTCTCTTATTTTCTTATTTTTGAATTTGTATTCTAAACTTTTATTATGTTTGCAATTCAGGTTCTGACAATAATGGAAATTTCTTCAATCTATTTGAGGAGTTGGAGGAGAATGATAATGAGGAGGATGAGTCTGAGGTAAATTTTAAACAATAATGTCTTTTTTATATAAACTATTATATAAAGAAAATTTTCTAAAATTTTGTTAATTTGGGGTATTTGTTCTTATTTCAGGAAGTTATTTCTTCAACTTGAAATTATTAATCAAGCCTAGCTAAAGTTTCTGCTGTAGAGTTTGCTTTGCTGGATTGAATGGATATGTACGCATGTGCCACTTTTTAGACTCTTTTATGTGCTTTTTCTTAATGAACTTATTGCTGGACATGTTGGCAGCAGTTTATGCTTTTTTTTTTCTATCAACTTTGCTGAATCTAGACATATATGAC